TTCTACAGATTTTCATATTTCGATATATATTTTAAAACGTCTTTCTTTCATTCCTTCTTAATTTTTCTTTTCTTTCTTTCTTTCTTTCTTTCTTTCTTTCTTTCTTTTCTTTTCTTTCTTTCATTCTTTCTTTTCTTTCATCAGAGTTCTTTTCCTTTCTTCTTCCTTTTATTTGTTCGTCGATTCATTGTCCCCTCTAATTATAGTCTTTATTTTTTCCTACCTCAAAATTGCAATAATCCATTCAATATCTCTTGCCTCGAGTTCAGTTTTGAAAATAATTCTTTTTTTAAAAAAAATATGGCGCATAAAAAATCAAACTGAACAAAAATAGCCGAATAATGGTTACTATTATCAAATATTAGAATTAATATTCGAGTTTAAACAAAAGCAATGGTTTTGAATGTAAAGATTTGTCAAAAGCAACATCATTCAATCAACATTAGCACTTGTGGACTTGAACATACAAATTGCCAAAGAATCTATCTATTTATATATCTGTAGTTGGAAGAAATAAAATACTCAAGACAAGCACGCTTAATCTCCAACAGAGATGTATTCATGTATCCCACCTTCCTCAGCATTTTAACTACGAGTAAGTTACACGTTCAGTTTGCCTTCGTGCAGCAATCTTTGATTTTTATCAGGTGACTTATAACACATAATATTTGCTGAACTACAAAAATTTTTTTTCTTTGATTTGTCAGTTGGTATTTATTCAATTAGGTCTTTTGGGGTCTATCTACCAATCCAGACAAATTCGTCTGCCGGAATAATTGTGTATGGATAATTGTCTTGCATTTTTAGTCTGCTAATATCTATCTATCTATCTATCTATCTATCTATCTATCTATCTATCTATCTATCTATCTATCTCTTTTCTCTCACTCTCTCTCTCTTTCTCTCTCTCTCTCTATATATATACATGTGTGTGTTAAATGGATTTTTATTTGATATTATATCGCATTGCTATAAACGTTATTCTAGTGGGTAGACCTGTTTATAAATAAAATAACAATTATATTTACATATACATATATGTGTGTGTCTTTATAAGCATCTGCACATTATCTTTGTTCATCATTCTGTCTCTCATTCTGCATATATATATATATATATATATATACCGATCGATTAATCAATTGATCGATATTCATTTATATCTATGTATCTACACGTCTTTCCATATCTATCTATCTACTCAATACATATATATATATATATATATATATATATATATATATATATATATATATATGTATATTCCATTCGTTTCCCTTCCCTCCTACCATCTTTGTACGTTTCTCGATTTTTTATACACTTCGTCCTTACCATTATAATAATTCTAATATTTGGCCATTTTCTCAGTTTTGATCTATCTATCTATCTATCTATCTATCTATCTATCTATCTATCTATCTATCTATCTATCTGTTCATTTTCTATCTATATATCTATCAGTCTGTTCATTATCTATCTCTCTCTCTCTCTCTCTCTCTCTATATATATATATATATATATATATATATATATATATATATATATATATATATATATCAGTCTGTTCATTATCTATCCATCTATCTACCAGTCTGTTCATTATCTATCTATCTATCTATCTATCTATCTATCTATCTATCTATCTATCTTCTTATTTCAACATTCCCCCTTTAGCTCCTCAACCTTCTTTCCTCTTTTCCTTCTTCAAACCCGTCACAACCTTCGCCTGCTTTCGCTCGGAAGCGACAGGCTGAGATCTTGCTGCTTTCAATTCGCAGTCGACGAAGAACAATGAGTTTATTGAAAACTCTTTGGAAAGACCGCGGAAGTCAGTAACTGAATGCAAGTGCAGCAAACGCTCGCTCGCGCACTACTGCACATATGGACATGCTTTCCTACTCACGCCTGCAAATACACATGCGCGCACACGCACATACATACTTGTATCTAAGGCCACGAAACACACAAGTATATTTATACATCTAAGGACACCACCAGACACAGAGACATACATATAGATGAATTTGCATAAATACGCACAATTCCTCACACATGCATACATTTAAAAAAAAAAATACACTTACGTCTGCATCTCCAGTTATGAATAATGTTTTGAGTCGTATTCTATAGCTTATCAAACCTTTGCAGGTTACTTAAAGCCAGAAAATATTTGAAATTGTAAGAATATACTTTTTTTTAATATAATAATGATTTTAGTGATGCAACTCTTAATAATTAACCCATAGGTGGGGAGTAGAACAAGTGGATTAATAACTTTCCCTGGTGTATTTGCGTGTAAGGGAATACAACGAATAGAACATGAATTGGAACTCGGCTATTCGATTAACACTTCCGAGACATTAACCATTACACCCCATAATAATAGCTTGTAGCACCTGGAAATCCCAAGCCATCACCTATCTAGTTAATGACCAAGCTCAATGTTGCTTAACGTTAGTGATCGTATGGGAACCGATGTTTCAACGTGATGTGGCCGTAAGAATTCTTGTTGAAGTATTACGCTGACACTTCAGCCATCTTTCCTCTTTTCCTTCTTCAAACCCGTCAAGATCATCAAGTGTTAGGATCTCTTTTAATCTTATTAAAGACCAAGAAATTAACAATTTTGGCACTCGATAATTCTTACCCTGGTCTCTGTTTCTCTTTTACCATTAAAGAGAAATTTAAGATTTCTTAATTTCTTAATTTGGGAGATTACTGACAGGTAGCCAGGGTTAGCATTTTAATGATAACAACTGATATCTACCAATATTCGATATAGAACCTAGATTTGATGCAAAACTGACGTCAGACATTGTCAGCTGAAGATACAAGAAGCTTCTTTAAATGACGTCCATGTATTGGTTGGCATATCTACCTTAGCATAATTCGATATTGAATTTTCCTTTTATAGATTTAATCTTCTATTTGAACCAAACTTCTTCTTCTTCTTCTTCTTCTTCTTCTTCTTCTTCTTCTTCTTCTTCTTCTTCTATGTGTTGTGTAACTTCAGTACGAGGCGATAACATATCCCCACAAACTCTTTTCCCTTGTAGCTCCTAGCAATATATTGGCCTTTTATCAAGACTCACACCACTCCAGTTTCACTATTCATTCACACAACTCGTTCGGTATCGACCCAGAATTTATTCAAAACTGACATCAGACTGTACCAGCCCAAGATCTAAGCCGCTTTTTAACATCAGTCACCTCTTCCTTTAATCTTTACCTGAAAAATGCCTCGCTGAATTTCCCCGCCTCCTGCAAAAAAAAAAAAAAACGTATATTACCCCTCCTGGCCACTTCAGATCATTCACCCGTCAATGTCAGAGTTAATGCCAAACCAAAGGCCTGCCCTGATGGACCGTTCCATAGAACGATTTTTTGGTACACGAAAGCAATCTGGAACGACTTCAGATCTTATATAGGGGAAGCTCTTCTCCCAGGCTTCTTCAAACACGCTTCTTCCAAAACTGCTGCTCTCGCATCAGAATAAATACCTACTTGGATAGAGAGTTTCATACTTCAGAAAACTTTCCAGCAGAATTCAAAAGCCAGCTCTGGTTCACCTCCAAATGTAATGTAACCTAGATCATTGTAAACACTACTAAAATCACACGGAGCGGTATTGTAAGATACTTGCTGCATTCAGAACTGCTCGCAGTCACTGCAAGAAATGTCTAGAAAAGCGTAGCTATACTCGAGCAGTCCAGGTCAAGGCCGAAAGCAAGCAAATTGGATCCCAGGAAACCTGGAAGATCTCTAACCAAATTCTAAATACATGCAAAGTATTAGTACCTGCTATTATAAATGGCTCCGAGGTCATCTCATCGTCGTCAGACAAGGCGAAGCCTCTTCGCCTCGATCTCTGCCTCAAAGTCAACGTTACATCAACACAGGTGTTCCCCAAGTTTCATTTCTCTGTCCAACCATCTTCCTACTTTACATAAATGATCTACCTAAAAGAATATTCCGATTATTTGTCAATATCTTTGCTGATGGTACAACAGTATATCGGCGCACCTCAAACTATAGATGACCAGAAATTGGCAGCTGATTTCTCCTCTGGCCTATCTCTAACAGCTCACTGAGGGAAAAAAACGGCTCATCACAACAGTTTCCTCGAAAACGAAACATTCCCTCATCGACGATTGAACCAAAAACTATCACTAATCGCGAAGAAAGGATGTTCCTTCACGTAGGCCCCTAGACTTGAGTACTATTTGGGATAAACTCTGATCAGACCTCACCTGGAACTCCTGCATACGATGCCTTACTAAAGATGCTGTTAAAATGGTCAGTTCCCAATACCACTCCAATGTTACATCTCCATCTCCTATTGGGTCACTTAGTCCTCAAATACGTGAGCAAGCTTGTCTCGGTGCCTTTAAATCTCGGACCGTTACCATGTATCTGACCCAAGGAGGATTTCTTTTACCTTGACTTCTGGGCAGACACGACATGTTCACTCGGAGCATCCCGCATGTATTTTATTTCCTGCTTTAATTGTAGATGTTTTCTAGATTTTGGCGTTATCTGCCTGATAGGGATCGGAACCTTCGCGTAACACCGAAGGAAGTTATCCTATCAGTAGGTGTATAATATCGGGGCTATTGTACTGTCATTTTGTGAATGGATTCTGCACCGTGCAGTAGTCTCCGGTGAGGTATCTCGATGCAATGGTGAATGGTACTGTTACGTCTGTATCTCTGGACGACCTTCTTCTGGTTATCTATATATGCGACTTGTGCAGGTATGTCTCTCTCACTGCCTACCAGTTTTCCATCAACGTATGCACACATGAAACCAATCAAAATAAAAAATGAACAAACCTATCAAACCCAACCCCACAAAAAAACGAAGTAGACCCCTCGTATATCATCTCCTAAACCAACGTGAAGGATCTACGTTCCAAATTTCCAGAAGTGGAACACCATCTTTTCGAATGTAAACTAGATCTACTTTCTGAAACTGGTATCAACGCTTCAGGCACACAAGAGGAGATCTCAGTCCATGTATGCTCACCTCTCATAGCTAAGCATGACCACCTAAATCGTCACGACCACGGACCCGGAAGCTACAGGGACGCAAAAAATGAGGAACTCAAGATTCCGTCTATTTGGTTTCGCTTGGCACTTATCCATAGTATCATATTTGTCTTTGCTCGCTGCCGTCCTCAGGAGGAAAGGACGGTAATCTTTGAAGGTATATCTGACAAGATTGACAATATCTTCACTTAGTTCCCCTCGGCCAGCTTTTATATCTGTGGTTACTTCAATATCCACCATAAAGAGTCGCTAGTCCATTCCAAAAAGACCTATGTTTGAGAGCAGCTATTGCAGAGACTTCTACATCGCCTACAAATTAACCCAGATCATCGGTGAACATACCTGGGTCCAGGACTCGATGGGACAGCAGGCGAATCTTCTCGATCTCTTTCTAACCTCCTGCCTGATAAATGACGGTAAAAAGACTTACCTCCACTAGGCACGTCAAACTATTCCTTAATCAATATCCAGATTGGCGACAAAACTAAGGCATCCCCTGATAAGCCTTTCCATAACATAATTTTTTACTATGTGAAGGCAGCCTGGGACAGCTTTCGTTCCTACATGATAGAATCTCCCCGCCGAACCTTCTTCAAGCATGCTGCTTCAAAAACTACTGGCTTTGTAAGTAATTGGATCCTTCCTGGAATGGAGAGTTTTATACCCCAAAATAAATTTCAGTAAAAACTAAACAATCAACCCTGGTCACGCCTGAATGCGCTGCATCCATAACCCAACGAAACCACTGCTTTAATATCTATCGCAAGGAGCGATGTTTTTAGGCCCTCATTGTATTTAGAACTGCCCACAATCGCTGCAAAAAAGTTCTAGAAAACGCAAAGTGCAGCTACGCGCGAGTAATCCAGACCAAGGTTGAAAAGAAACAAATTCGATCCTGTGACTTCTGGAAGATCACCAACAAAATCATGAACAGAAATAAAACGGCTGTTCCCACAATTAGAAATGGTCTCAAGGTGATATCTTCATCAACAGATAAAAGGAACCATTTCGACTCCATCTTTCCCTTTAACTCAACGTTAGATGATAATGTCCACCCGCGTTCCAAGTTTCCACGTCTCACTATGCACCATATCAGGAATATTACCGTCTCTAGACTTATCAAAGACGTTAACCCTCAGAAAGTCACTTGTTCAGTCAAAATTCTGGTGGCTGTCCTTAAACACAACACTCTGGAATTACCCCTAATCCTAGCAAAGATATTCAACCGCTGCTTGAAGGTGAAATGCTTCCCAAAGCTGTGAAAGTGTCAGTCGTACGTCGTCTCGGTTCCAAGAATGCGGGACTTCCATCTTCCCAATCCCAGCACAGACCCATCAGTCTCCTGAGGATTATCAGCAGACACTTTGTGGCCATGATCAATAAGAAGGTCGTCGAGCATCTTGAAAAGAACAAACTCTTCAGCGACGAGTAGTATGCAGTTCGTTCGATCCGATCCACTGCTGACATCGTAACTACCATCTTTCACAGAATCAGTGACGGCAAACACATCTCGAGGACCATATCACTAGATATCTCAAAGGCCTTCGTTAAGGTGTAAGCACAAAGGCTTACAAGTTCTCCATATATGGAATCACTGGAAAGATCTTAATCATAAAATCCTTTAAAACAGGTAGGTCCCTGAAGATAGTTATCAACCCTTGTTTTGATCTATATAAATGATCAACCTAAGAATGTACTCAGCTTATTTATAAACATCTATGCCAATGATACGACTATATACGGGCGAACTTCTGAAACACTCGAGGGTCAGCGATTGGCGACTGAACCCTCTTCCGATTTTGTCAAACGACCCAATGGGGTAAATATTGTAGTTTTTTGTGTATATGTGTGTACTAGTGAGCCAGTCTAAATGAGTTGCCTCATTTTATAGTCCACCAATAAAAGGTTAACTAATCAGAAGACGTAAAATATTCAATCCGTCGAGTATAAAGGCGGCCATTTTGTTTACTCTCTCCGAATGTCCAGTGCCAACTTGTCAGGCGAAAGAACAGAAGGAAGAACTACTGAACTACGCTCTGCTACTTTGCTGGGATATACAATGCTAACCTGAACTACGCTTCCCTACTGTCTTCAAAATATTCACTGCTAACCTCTGGATGCTATACTCAAAGACGACCGTCATCATGAACAGTAAAAACTGTCTGGTTACATTAACCACCACCAATCTGGATGAATGGAGATCCTCTCGGGGAAACAACATGTCTTGAAAGACTGTTGGGCCTGAAACTCACACCCGATCTCGTGGAAATCGTACATGCTATATGCTAAAGGTGCAGGAAAAATGGTGCGCTCCATTAAGTACCTGACTCCACTTCCATTACAGGAGCCAGATAATGTTAAAAATGGTGTACTCTTGTCATTTTTGCTAGGGTACTGTCCAGACCTCTCTCTCCAAACTTGCTTGTGTTTAAAAACGCCTTCAAACACTTGT